TGATAGATGGAGAGTCACGATTGAGTTGGGAAGGTTGGTTAGAAGCAGTTGCAGGTGTCAGGGATCTAAGGATACCACGATGTCTCAATATTGGATCGTACAATAAGGGGCAGATTTCTTTACATCTGTTTTCGGATGCTTCAGAAAGCGGTTATGGAGCCGTAGCCTATATGAGAGTACAATATGATACAAGTATAACGAGATGTAGCTTCATCCTGGGCAAATCTAGAATAGCACCCTTAAAATTTGTCAGTGTTCCTCGCCTTGAACTACAAGCTGCAGTACTGTCAGTGAAGTTGATGAGGCAAATAGTCGAAGAAATAAAGTTGAACGAGCTGACTGAATTCTACTTCTGGACGGATTCTATGATAGTATTAAACTACATTCTTAGTACGACGTCGCGTTTCAAGACATATGTAGCTAACAGAATTAACTTGATTCACGAGCGAACTAGACCCTCTCAATGGAAGTATATACCATCATCGATTAATCCTGCTGATCTAGCTTCCAGAGGAATATGTAAGTATGACTCTAACTGTATCGAAGCTTGGCTCTCAGGTCCAGAGTTTCTAGCGACTGAAAAGGATAAATGGCCTGAGTATAAACGGAAAGGAATATTAAGTTTCCCAGTCGACCTAGAGTTAAAGAACGCCACAACTTTGGACACCATGACTACAGTTCTTCCCTTTGATAGATTTATATCCTATTTTTCGTCATGGATTAAACTTAAACAAGGCACAGCTTGGCTTGCCAGATTCAAACGATACCTCTACAATAAAACGATTGTAAGTGGACCCCTTACGCTTAACGAACTGGAAAATGCCGAAAAGGACTTATTGAAATACGTTCAAGAGCAAGAATTCACGGAATTTAGGCAATGGATTAAGCGACGCAAATATTCTGAAAGCATTTCGACCAAGAATCAAGTTATTAATAAGGTACGTCCAATCGTAATCGACAACCTCATTCGCGTAGGAGGACGTCTACATAATAGCGACCTTCCATTAGAGCAGAAACACCCGATTATTCTACCCAGTAAACACCCTATAACGGAGCTTATCATTCATTACTACCATCAGGCTGAGGGGCAAATGGGAGTGTACCACACACTATCTGCCTTGCGCAAAAAGTATTGGATCTTAAAGGGCACTGTGGCAGTCAAAAGGATCGTACATAAATGTATAAGCGGTCGCATTGGATCAGCCAGACCGATGTCACAACTGATGGGAGACTTACCATCTACACGGATAACACCAGACTTCCCGTTCGCGACGACAGGAGTAGATTATTTTGGCCCGATCATGATCAAAGAGGGACGCAAATCTCGAAAGTGTTACGGTTGCCTATTTACATGTTTCAACATCCGAGCAGTTCATATAAAAGTTGCTTGCGCCTTATCAATCGATTCCTTTCTAATGGCGTTGTCTCGCTTCTCAAATCGCAGGGGAATACCGAAGAAGATATACAGCGATAGAGGAACCACCTTCGTTGGGTTAGAGAAGGAGATACAACTTCTATTACCAGACTTTAAGGATAATAGGTTAGCTAAGGAAATGATTCGTCTGAATATAGAGTGGCACTACAACATCCCTTACGCAAGTCATCGTAGAGGGATATGGGAAAGATTAATAAAAAGCATACGTAGAATTTTGAGTGCTGTATCTTGTGAGCAAACCATGACTTACGAGACGCTCTCCACTTATCTGACCGAAGTAGAAAGAATACTTAATGATAAACCTTTAGTCACAGTTTACGATGACCCAGAACAACTCGAGACATTGTCACCTAATAATTTACTTTTGTTGAGAAAACCTCACCTTCATCAGATTGAGATAAACCTACGTGAGCGTTATTCACGACAATGGCGACAAGCACAACTGTTGGCAACTACATTTTGGCGTCGGTGGATAAAAGAGTATTTACCACTCTTACAGAGGCGAACAAAATGGACACAAAGAAGACGAGATCTACAAGTTGGCGATCTAGTCTTGGTTATTGGAGACACTTATGCGCGAAATAACTGGCCCAAAGGCCTAGTGGTAGATATCGACCCAGGAGAAGATGGTCTAGTGAGACAAGCGAAGATCAGAACGTCGAAAGGTATAATTATTAGAGACATACGTAAAATTTGTTTATTAGAAGGGGTGGACGACTGAACAGTAGAGGATAGAGAGACCTTTCACAGTGACTGTGGCTAGAGTAAATTGAACCATTGCCACCTCTGAACGTTTTACGTTAATACCTAATCAGCGAAAGTAAGGAAAGACATGCTGTATTTGGGGGGCGGTGTTAAGTTTGTTTTACATTGTTCCCGCTCATTCCTTTCCTACTCTTTTGTATGTTGGTTTATACTACTTATTTATATTCAGTAAGCAGTTGTATGCCCAACAATTTTCACAATCATGTTGTAACTCAGGTTGTACTGTAACATTCTGAAATGTTCACATATATCTTTAACGTTTATTTTACTTATCATTGTATTTATCATTATAATCACCGTAATTTAATTGCTGTAACGGTTATCCACAGTTTTATGCATTTGCTTAAACGCAACAGTTTCCATATTGTTTGCTCTTGGTTCGAGTTTCGGTTGTTCATAAACTGCTATCAAATTTAGACTCAGCTATCGGCTGTCTTTGGACTATCGAAGCCTTTACTATTTTCATTCTTGAAAGACGCGTTTAAACGCCTAGACACCTCACAAGTTGAGGTTTGTAACTAAATTTTGTGCATTATTTAATAAAGAACCGCTTTTGTAGACAAATCGTTGTTTTGGAACTTCGATTTTGCGCGCATCTCAATCGCGGTAACTTCGACGCTTCGATAGAATTAACAGGGACAATAATAACACAATGACACGAACAACACATCCATTAGTCATGTCAATACATGTGAACATTTCACTGGTCCTTATCAAGTCTCACTCCATGGGATTTCCTCTTCACACCACAGGATTGTGTGCATGTTCGATTCCACTGAAAACTGACAGTTGTTCACCATGCACCACGCTCTCATTTCATTTTCATGATAAGATGATTTGACATACACAAATTAAACAAGTGTTAATTATGAAATTATGATAATATCTCATGCGTAGAGAATGTGATGCATGTGATCGGTTGACACATCGTTTCCTACAAACTAAATACTTCTTCACATCACATGATCGATATGCAAATGGCATTAGCTATGCAACTACTCGACCTACTATGTTGTGCATAATATCAACATATTTCACTTCCACAACTAATTAGTTGAACAATGTCAGTCAATCTGTTCATGATAGTCGCTGTAATTTCTTATCAAACTGTGTATACAGTTGTGAGCATTCCTACAACAACTGAGTTGAAAAGCAAAACCAGTGCATCGAATAAATCATCAAGTCTACTGAATTGGAGAAATACAATCTCACAATGTGTTCGATTGTATATGGAACCAAATCATCTTGGTGATTGGTTTGATATATGTGATAGTAATGAGCTGCTCTCATCAACATTTATTTGGAGAATCAAATCGATGTGTACAACTGGAAATACGAATCCATTCAGAAAAACATATTGGTTAATATATGAGTAGGTTTGTCCAATTTGATATGATCCGTTGTGAGGTTCATGTTTGGAGAACAAAATCGATTAATTAGGCTGGTAGATGATCATCGAGTTATGAAAATATAACTTGTCAGCACACGTCGTTCCAACCAGTAAAATTTCAATGCAGTGTTGCTCAATGTTCCAACAGACAGTTGACCGAGAGAGTAGTACAATCTATTCAACTTGTATACGAGTCAAGTTAAGAATAAGATAAAAGTGATGATATGACTATATTTGACATCAGATAATGTGATCAAATGAAAGGATTGTAATAAGTGAATTATCCATGAAAACTCCTTTCCTAATTCACTAATAAATATTCAAGTGTCCTGTAACTCCTGTTTTCCCTGTCTTATATCTCATTTTTTCAACAGACTAAGAAGCATATAAGCAGTTAACAGAGTGAATCAATATCCATCGATTCGAAATAAACAAGCTGTCTACAGTAAATTCCTACAGAGTATTAGGATACGTCAAAGGGAGTAAACAATCAAATGAGATAGGCGATACAACTGCAAACAATAAAGTGGTTCGAAACTTCAGAAAAATCGACAACACTTAAGATGAGCAGTTCATTTCAACAAAGAAATCAGAGAGGATGGCTTCAACTTGATTTCTAATAGTTTAATCAACTGTACAATACCAAGTAGTATGGTAAGATAAGTGAAATACGTAATCAATAAAAGAGTGTAGTTATTTCTTTTAAATCTGCAATTCAGTCTAGCATATGTGTTCCCTCAAAACCAAATTTGGTTAATGTGTTGAACGTCTATGTGTTCTCATAGTAAGCACCAATTATTTGTAGAGTCATTCTCCTTGACCAGTGAATGCAAATCATTCATTATGTACCTATACAAATTCATTATTCATATGATAACTACACGTTATTTACAATGACATTTCAAATAGTAGTTCGTGAAAACTAGCTCTGTAGAACAGAATGTTCACTTACAGCAGAGAATTGGATATATGCCACGTTCTTACAAAACAATCTGTACTACTCTCTCGGTCAACTGTCTGTTGAAACATTGAGCAACACTGCATTGAACTTTTACTGATCGGAACGACGTGGACTGATAAGTTATATTTTCACAACTCGATGATCATGTACCAGCTTAATTAATGTTGGTGAACTAGGAGGTTAAATTGTTTAGAACACCATCGTTTTCGTATTCTTGGCACTTGGTGTTTAACATTCACTTTTCCCAATAACATCTACCACTAACAATATGTTATATCCTAGCGAAGATTAAATTACGAGTAACTCCTGAGACCTATTAATGGACTAATGTAATGTCTCTGTTCCTCTGGTGTAACTGTTCAGTGATTAGATTATGTATATCTATATTCCACTTATTAGAAGCTTCGTTTTGATCCATAGATTATTAATATTATTATTATAACATGATTTTCTGTTCATAAGTTATACTCAGTTTATTGATTACGGTCTCCCACGTTCACAGTCACTTTCTGGCTTTATTGTGTATAAATGTTATTTCCTACTTATGGTGCGTTGCGGTCTGTCTGGTTGATATATAAACCCAGTATGTCTGAAATAAATAATTCGCATAGTGGAAGCTGTTGTTGGCATTGTAGAATCAGAGGGACGGGCTAGATGAGCAATGGATTAAGGGGACGCTAGGCTGATCAGACCGAACGAACGTCATTGGATTAGAAGAGTACACGAGTGAATAAGTAGTAATTTCATTTGCGAATAAATTACGTGATAACTAGTGGTCTATAAAGACACAAAACAATGCATATTGAACTGTTATCCGTCATAAATATCAGTCAATATTCATCGTGATTCAGTTCAAACTACTTACGTCCATTGATTCAAAACAACTACAAACATCATTTTAAGCTCTCTCTCTCTATCACGCAATACACTGATATCAGCATGCACTTGAATTTTCGATGAACGGAATTAAAACGAAGAGATTGTACTTGTAATTATTTATTGTTGACACTGTTCTTCTGTAGTTCCAACAAACTTTCTATTTCTTCCAGTGAGGAAGCTTCTGCTTCATCAGCTGATTCCGTTCCAGATTTAGATATGACTTTATAATCTGAGTGCCAGTTTACTGGGAAAAATTCCCTCCATGGTCGTTTTGGATATTGACAAGAAACAAACACATCCCATTTTGCCGTTAGTTTCTCTACACAGATCAGTACTGACATAGTTGCCGAAAGTTTATACTGATTTATATCGTCAATACATTTACTGGAACCGAGTAGAATGTAAGGTCCTGCGAAATGAGATCGTCTAAATAAAGATGGATAAAATCGTGCAAAAGTAGATATGAAAATCATAAATTAATCATGATGATAATTAATTCAATTTATTTATAGATCTGAAAGTATCACAGTTCTGTGGAATGTATTTGCTCAAGAACTACTCTACACATTATTTATTCATTCAACGGATGCTGCTTAAGTGTAGATCAACTAAACCACAATTTGCGAGTCATCATTTGATCACAGATAAACACATAACTTGTTCTGCTGAAAACCATATGTGTTTACATTACCAACGAAGACAGCGAAGGTGTACAAAATTAACTGATATTCTCACTGATCTCATCTCATTTTATATTCATATTTTCACATTTGATGATATTTGGTAGGAGACAATGGAAGCATCAGATAATTAGGCAAATTACCTACCTGTAATCCGAAGATATTCAAAACGAAGTAAACAATCTTTCCATTCGTCATGTAATCGGAATATGTAAAGCAAGTCGACCAACTACATTTCGTGAATGAACTGATAACATTGATTGGAAAGACCAAATGCATCAACACACACACACCGACTGGTCGACAACGCTTCATCATCAATGAATGAAATTATTTTCGTGTCTCCAGTCAACTAATTCTAATTCTTAATTCTACACAATTTTGTTAGTTTACGAAAATTCACCAAACAGTATGTTGTCTATATACCAATACAAGATGTACCACATAGCGAACCTGAAATCATCATGACAGTTGGTTGGGATTGTATCATGAATTACAATCTATAGGCATAACTATTAAATTCCAGTGGTTTTCCATGAATTCCGTGACATAAATTCATGAGAATAGAATTAACGGATAAGTGGACAACGCTCGTGGATGCACATTAACAATATAAACCTCACAACGGATCATATCAAATTGGACAAACCTACTCATATATTAACCAATATGTTTTTCTGAATGGATTCGTATTTGCAGGTGTACAAATCGATTTGATTCTCCAAATAAATGTTGATGAGAGCAGCTCATTACTATCACATATATCAAACCAATCACCAAGTTGATTTGGTTCCATATACAATCGAACACATTGTGAGATTGTATTTCTCCAATTCAGTAGACTTGATGATTTATTCGATGCACTGGTATTGCTGTTCATCTCAGTTGTTGTAGGAATGCTCACAACTGTATACACAGTTTGATAAGAAATTACAGCGACTATCATGAACAGATTGACTGACATTGTTCAACTAATTAGTTGTGGAAGTGAAATATGTTGATATTATGCACAACACAGTAGGTCGAGTAGTTGCATTATATATGCTATTTTATATAGGTCATACCATGTTACTGTGAATTAATATTATCGACATCCAATTAAAGAATACGTGTGATCTAGTTAGATATAGTAGCATAAACTAATACAATGCACGCGCATTTAACCTCATTCTTTAAATCTTATCGAACAATACCCACACGCACAAATTTACATACAGATCTCTTATGAATCATCTTGACCGGAATGACACGGCATTAACTTGTTCTGACCTGTTTTTGATTGATCCAATATTATTTTTGCATTGTTCCGTTGTGTTATTTATACTTGGATTAATTTTAATCAGATTATTTATTCTGTGAAGAAGTGACTTACACTAAGTCACGAAAAGTCAGAAGAATCTAAATTTCGACTCAGTGAGATATTACAAATATATTATTTTTTACTTAGAAACCCATAGTCGTCACGAAACTATCACACGTAAATCCTACACTTCACCTTATTCTTTTCACATGAATGATATAAACAGACCCACAATGGTTGATTTCGCTATTTGATCAAGAACAATGCCAAATTGTTTAGTGTTGCTCGTTACCATGATATCTTGCTCCACAGTGTGGTCACTTGAAACGTTGGAAAATACATCCGAGGATCACACAAATTCGAATAGCTCAGCAACACAAACAAGACTTTTGTACAGTCTCGCACTGCCAGTAAAATGCATGAGACTATTTAGGTACTACAAAAACATGGATTATTGGATCGATTTATGTGACAGTAATCCATCACTTTCACCATTTCTAAAGAAGTATACAAGAGCAGTTTATTCACCACGCTCCACCAGATTCGATAACATTAAATACTGGGTTGTATATTCGTACGTTTCTGCAAATTACTTCACTAGTCACCTTATGAAATGTGTATATTGCAAGTTTCATGTGAGTCCTCTGTCATACAAATCCACTTGGACAGTATCTAGTCAGTGTCTCATATATGATAACAAGTGTTATACGATCTTTATTTGCAAGATAAACTGGACCAAATATTAAACTATATTGTAATAATTGTCGCTCGACAAATCGGTGTTGTAAGTACATAGAATTACTTCCCACTCATTTCCAAACACTTTGGAATAAGACTGACCAACAATATGAATAGATTGAATTTCAGCATGTACAACATTTTAGTGTGACTGAGTGGTCTGGAAACTAAGGAATTCTGTGTGTGACGGAAAAGGCTAGGTCTAGTCCATCTTGTCAACACTAATAATATACAATTGTATGTAATCAGATACTAGAAGAGAAAACCACTCTTCACTGACTTCTGTTTCAAGTAGTTGTTTATCGAAGTTTATTCGTCTATGTTCACGATGAAATTACAAAATTCCATTAAAATCTTGTTGCAATGTTGATTCCAGCGGAATATTACAGTATCCAACAACAATGTAAACCGAATCAGTAGTAAACATGATTTGATTAACTTCATTAGGAAAATGTCTCTTCATTGACTTGATTTGCTACATTGAGTCACACAGTCTACTGAGGACATTCTCGAGGGATTGACTAAGTAGTCACTTCACTGCATCAGACGATGTTAATCTTGTTTGTTATCAATTCAATTAACTACTGGAAATTTTACACCGAATAAGGAAGCTGAGTGGAAGTGAAACAGTGATGTTCCACTCTACAACATGGAATATTATGCGGTGAATGAAATTTCAGTCATTTGATGCAGTCGATGCATTGTTTTGAGCATTTTCGGTAAACCGGATTGAATAATGTTTGTTAGTGTATTAAACTTGAGACATTTTCATTCAGCTGTTATGAGCATAGAATAGTATGTGTGAAATGGAAGACACATTTCCGATCGAGTTCATCAATGAGTTCATATAGGAAATTACTGTATGTAACGATTTCTGTCAGCCTAGTTGTATGGAAAGCTGTGCAAATGTTCACATGTAATAGATTACGCATATCAAAACAGTTTATGTGTTTCTCTAAGACCATTAGATTGAAGGAAGTAGACGAATCCCAGTAGCACATGATATTCCATTTGATGCTTTTAACAAAGGACAATGTCGAGATAGTGCACTCAGCATGTACATATGCCCATCAAGTGTATTCCAATGTAGTCATGAACATCAACACTGGGAAACTCAAGCACATACATCTGTCATCTTGTACTTGTTCAAGCAATAGGATGGTAAGTTGTGATTGGAAATCGACAACATTATTAATTTGTGTATACAACGGATATAGGATTGTAAGGTGAGAAGATATGATGATCATCGGTATACTTCATTTCGTTGGAAATTTTATACAACATGTTTAGCCTGTGCACAATTGAGTTTGGAGAAACTAGTGCAGATGTTCAAAGTAAGGTAAATAATTTCAAATGGTTTGTTTTCCAAACAGTTTTACCAATATTGAAACTTCCATGTAGTCAGTCACATGTGTATTCTTATTACTGTGTACATGTCTACAGGCAACAGATATTTCGTGGTCGATATATACTAGTTCAACCAGATACATGTGTTACAGTCATTCGTCGAGGTGGACTACGATCAGTTGGATCCATAATGAAGTGTTTAGTATGGCCTAGAAACAGTGTTCATTCACCTTGTAATATACCACGAGAGTCAACGAGGATGTCTGATGAAAGTGGGAAATATACTGTTGATGCACTGGATGAGGAGTGGAATTCTCGAGACGAAACACCTAATGAATTTTACCCAGGTTCACCAGAGAAACACAGTGGAAATGTCCATATTATTACTAAATGAAATCATTACTTGACACTTGTATTGCTATCATGCTATCACTAATCAACAATTACATTTTAATTAACAATATCAAGACTTTTAACAATTGTGTAGATTAACGCAATGGAAGTTGACACTGAGAGTGACATGATTTCGATAGAATGATCTCTTCCGTCATTTTAGTAAAGTATTATCTTGCTGAAATGAATTGCACGAGGTGAAGTGTTCTGGATGTGCATGAACAAAATACATGACATATTTGATGGGTGTCAGAGTATGCGATTGTTCGAAACAGCCCTCAATAATAATAATAATATTATTATTATTATTAATATTATTATTATTATTATTGTTATTACTATCATCTATTAGGGGAAAAATGAGTTATTTATTCAGGGTTATAGAGAGATATCTTATCTGTAGAACTTCCATATTTGTTTCAGCAATGCAATCACCAAGTTATCGATATCGCTACACAATTCGTACCCTAATAAATTCATATTTAGATCTCCAGATAAATACTGTTGTGGGGAGAGTGGTCGTAGTCGAATGAACACTACGAGGTAAACAAGCTGAATTGAGAGGATTCTAAGAGATATTCTAAGATATTTCAGGGAACCTGTAGACAATAAATAAGTGATCGATAATCAAGTTGTTTCACAAATCCAATCGACAAGCCATCGAAATCTGAAGTCAATTGGAATTATTCTGATGATCAAGAAGCGCTGATCACATCGATTCTAATCGACTGAGAGAAACGTCAGTGTTGTTAATGAACCTGAGTTGTTGACGAAGACAATATTATATACTGGGTGACATTTTCAGTATGATAACAACAGTATACAATCAATGTGCACATCACATCACATTCTTGTACCGATTGAATGATTTGTAGATCAAACAAGTTGAATCCAATGAATCTCGCATAATAACAAATGAGTGTTACTCGACACCTCACTAATTCACTTCACATGTGATCCGATCACACAAATTCTCTAAGATCGAATCGGCATACTAACTTCACAAGACAGATGAGCATTTTGCATCAGTTCGATCACATTCTTCCTAATTTCAGTTTGTCTAGAGAATCTTCCAATCGTATCTGCCATGCTCCAACATGTTCCGTGACAAGAACACAATGATAACACAATGACACCAACAACACATCAATTAGTCATGACAATATATGTGAACATATCACTGGTCCTTATCAAGTCTCACTCCATGGGATTTCCTCTTCACACCACAGGATTGTGTACATGTTCGATTCCACTGAAAACTGACAGTTGTTCACCATGCACCACGCTCCCATTTCATTTTCATGATAAGATGATTTGACATACACAAATTAAACAAGTGTTAATCATTCGACTTGAAAATGTTGAAATTTGAAGATAGTGTGGAGTTGAACATTATTGCTTCACAACATTGTACGAACAAATTTAACTGATTATGTAATGCATAGAGAATGTGATGCATGTGATCGGTTGACACATCGTTTCCTACAAACTAAATACTTTTCACATCACATGATCGATATGCAAATGGCCTAAGCAATACAACTACTCGACCTACTATGTTGTGCATAATATCAACCCATTTCACTTCCACAACTAATTAGATGAACAATGTTAGTCAATCTGTTCTTCCCCGTCACAGTATTTTCTTATCAAACTATGTATGCAGTTGTGAGCATTCCTACAACAACATAGTTGAAAAGCAATACCAGTGCATCGAATAAATCATCAAGTCCACTGAATTGGAGAAATACAATCACACAATGTGTTCGATTGTATATGGAACCAAATCAACATGGTGATTGGTTTGATACATGTGACAGTAATGAGCAGCTCTCAACAAATCTCGAAACATATTTATTGGAACTTGCTCAGCCCAATGTCCCTATTACGACTTGTGAGCACCTCAACACAGTTCAGATACCTTTAAATTGCTGTGACATTCAAATGAGTAAAATGAATTTGAATCTAATAGACTTGTTATGTTCACACAGTTGTCAGCCGAATAAAGCATTCTGAAGTTTATCTTTAAATTACGTGACCTACATTATTAAATAAGCAGTCGAACTTCCCTATTTGTATGTCAGTTCTGAAAACATTTTGGAAACGTTCAGAAAGTGGAATACTGTAGTCAATGTGCTTATTTCAACTATAAACTTCAGTGATCAAATAGCAATATAAACCTGATCGGATCGTCTCTATTCTTCTTTCCCACCCTTCTGAATATACGTTGAAATTTAG